TCCAAGCTGCACAAACATTAGTGATACTTTTAAACACCATTTAGCTATAAACAGATTACTGTTCTTCATATAACTAGTGTACTTCCAAATGACATAACAGGGAATATTCAACTGTTCTATACTTCATCACTTACAAATTCCTAGAAATGGGTGAACTAGAGGTATTTATACTGCATTGTCTTTCAATTATCTTAAGGCCTACAAGAAGTACCCTTTTTAACTACTTTCCCGTAAACGATTTCAACCAAAATGTCAACGTAACATTCATTCCTTCCATAAAAAGATTCTAAGAAAAAAAAAAGATGAGAGAAAAGGAATAAGAAAAAAAATAAAAAAAACGGACCCATTCGGCTAAGAAATGTTCCAAATGCCACGGCGTATCTCAAACCTACAACTCAACCAAAGAGGAAAAAATATATATATATCTATAAACATATATGTACAAGGTGTTCACTTCTTCGTAGACGAAACTCGGGCTGCGATCCAATCCACTGTGTCTTGGAGAGCCTCGTGCCGTACTTCAGGCAACTCCAGGTATAAATGGTGGAATGCAGAAGGAAATATCTGAAAAGGAAAAGTAATTAAGTTATTTTGCAATTTTCATCTGGATAAAAAAAAAAAAAATGGGGGAAATTCTGTCATAAAGTCATTCACAATAAATGAGGCATAAAAGCTTCATTCCTTATAGTATGGGAAGATAATTATCTTGTGCTAGTGTGAGTACGTGTGTGTGTGTGTGTGTGTGTGTGTGTGTGTGTGTGTGTGTGTGTGTGTGTGTGTGTGTGTGTGTGTGTGTGTGTGTGTGTGTGTGTGTGTGTGTGTGTGTGGGCATGGGAAGGTTCATGTATGTGGGACTGGGACTGGGACTGGGACTGGTAATGGGAATGGGAATGGGAAAGGGAAAGGAAATGGGCATGTCCATGTGCACGTTGGTATGCGCACGCATGTGTGAGTGCGTGTTCATGTGCGCGTGCTTGTGCGTGGGCGGTGGCATGGGCATGTGTATATGCGTGTGTGTAAGTGTGTGTGTGTGTGTGTGGGCGGGGGGGTGTATGCATGTTTGGGTGCGGACGCTGGTGCTGATGCGTGTACGTGTGTATGCACGTGTGCGTGTTTGTATATTTACTTAAGTACATTTACATTACCCCCTCAGAGCCTAAATCCTCTTCGCTTCTCGAAAAGAAAAAGAAGCTTCTGACCAACGTCCCCCCCCTTCCCCCTCCCCTCTTCCCTCCCCTTCTTTCCCCTCACCTTCAGCTCCTTATCGGTGCTCTTGGAATGTTCGAGAAGCATCTTGGAGCCTTCGGGAGCGCACAGGTGGTCCTCCTCGCCGTGGAGAATCAGGAATGGCCACTCTACTTCGGGAATGTGGTTTTCGAAATACATGAGCGCTTCGATTCCTGCCACGGCCCAGCGCGCTCGAATCCCGCCCTGATATCTGGAAAAGGAGTGGGATTCTTTAAGATAAGGATGCCGATGCTCTTTCCTCTTTATGTTTTATTTTTCTTAAGGTTTTCATGCGGATTTTTTGGATTTCGATTAGTTGGAATGTCTTAAAACCTGAAGGAGGAAAATGTGTAAAATACACATAGCTCTGATCTATGTCACAACCTTAATGACTTATCTATTTGTTCAGCAACTTAGTCAATAATTCATTTCCTTGATTTATTAAGTTTCCAGCCTGTGATTTACAAGGCGCACACACTAACCAATGACTCGGTTGTTAAACGCGGAGGGACATTCCCGTAGAGTTCTGCATTTTTTCGGGATTTTATTCAAGAGAAACATATAAGATGATGAAGATGAAGGTGAAGAAGGAGGAGACGAAGGAGACAAGAAGAAGATGATGACGATGATGATGATGAGAAGGAAGAAGAGAGGGAGCAAGACATTATACAAGAAGAGAAGAGGAGAAAAGGAACCGAAGATGATGATAACCAAAGAGGAGAAGAAAGAATTAGAAATAAAAAAATAAAAAAATAAAAGTTATAGCGACTATGACTATAAAACCAAGAAAAAAAGCTGAGGAGGACAATAGACGAGTGAAGAAAAAAAAGAAAAAAGAGAGAAAGAGAAAAACACAAAACAATAATAACCAAGTCGAAAAATAACTCGAAAAAAGGGCGATTTCCTTATCTACTTCATTTATTTTTTGCCTTTTTTTAAGAGTGAGAAAACATCAGTTGCGCAAACCTGAGCGGGTCCTTGCGCATTCTGTTCTTCATTTCCTCGTCGCGGGTCACGTGATCCAACTTCAGCTTCGCAACCTGAAACAAAGTAACGTTCATGAGCGCAAGTCACGTGAATTACGATAAGAAAAAAAAAAACTTTTAAAACTAGGTAACTCTTCCCAAAATAGAAATTAAAATACAAGTTGCGTATTCAGGTCTCAGAGGTAGAAAAATAAATCTATAAATGAGGGAAGCAAGATAATAAGAAAAGCAAGATAACGAAAATTATAATTAAAAAAAATATATATTAAATAAACAAATAATTTCAC